TATTATTATTATTATTATTATTATCATTATCCTGGATTAAAATCTCAGCACGGAAGTTTCTGGATCTATGTAACGTAAAAACTTCCGACTGTACCAAGTACAGTAGAAACCCATTGCACCTCAGGTAAGCCCGGAAGTTTTCGTCAAATCGAATGTGGTTTTTAAACCGCCATTGACACAATTAATACAAGTACACTGTAGATCATAAACGGGTTTAGACGCTGCGTGTCAGGGCCAGCTCGGGCTGAGTGTTATATCATATCATTGCATCTCAGCAGAAAGACCGAGAAACTCGATAAATATTTCCCCCCACTGGAATCGAACTCGGGTATTCTGCGCACAATATCCAAGAGCCTGGGCACAACAACATACTGTCTATGGTGTTTTATGCACCTCGCATAATTAAGCAATATTTTATCATTTTTTGCATAATTTCTGATTATTTTCCTTTATTATTCTTAGCTAAAATTAACAGAATCGCATAATTTCACATCGTTGAGCCCAGTTTGCATAATCTCTTTATTTATGGGGTTTTTTTTGCATAAAACCACGGGGACAGAACATAGGCGCCGGGGCCCAGAGGCAAGTTTCTTCACAAACCTACGTAGTGTTGAAAAATGAGTTATTAGACTCAACAAATGAAGCGTGGGACGACTTTTTGTTTGTTTAGATATTGATGTTTCTATACCCTATTCAACCCTATTTAGATCGTTTTGGAGGAGGGCTTCCATTCCTGCTTGTCAGTGCATTCCCGGGTTGAGAGGGATAAAAAACAACCGAGAGGAGAAATTGGCATTTTTACAGAAATTTTTTTTTTGGGGGGGGTTATGTCCCCTTCCCGCCCCCATCGCTGGTGGTTGACGGGTGCTCTGGTGTTGTTTGCTCCTTCTTTCCAATCAAACATCCATAGTCCTGATGATCTCTCCTCCCTTTTTGTGTTTGCTGCTCTCTTGTAACACCTCTAATCTAATCTTCGGCACTTATATGACCTTTCTGTGTTGCAAGTGCCGTAAAACTCGTTCTAAAACTGAACACTCCCATCGACACAATTCAGATCACTTAGGAGGCTGGCTGCTTCAACAGTGTTTTTCTTAAAGTTTTAGTAGAGGTTTTATGGCGCTCGGCAACTGCATAAGGTCATTTGAGCGCTAAGGGGTGGATGTCAACAGAGAAGTCTTTACAGGGAATCAGGCTTACTCTGCTCACCTCACTAGCTTCAACAGCACAAAGTCTGCTTCGATTATCAAGGCACCCCGGAAATAGCGGGTCACAAGAGAGTGCCAACATACAAAAGAAGTAGAGGAAAATGACGATAGTAAGGATTAGGAAAGAAAAAGCAGTAGTTCCCTGTTGTAGTTGAGGCACAGTTATGAGCATGACATTGTTGGATCAGCCCATTTACAATTCTACTGTGCATGAACGAGAAATGTCCCCCCCCCCCCTTAGGGAATGGCCTAAAGACGCTTCAGTCAGTGGCACCGCCCCAGAAGGTACAACAGTGTTTGTCTGGGCCAACCCGGGTTCTGATAGATACAACACTTTGTTTGTTTGAGTAAAGAGAAGCACATCGACACAATAATGGCCATTTAGTGCTTGGAAAAAGTAAGAGAGACAGACAGACAGACAGAGACAACAGACGGAACGTAAAGAAGTACGACCTACCAGTGGCGGACTTACACCACCCGCTGAAACAACAGTGGCGGACTTACACCACCCGCTGAAACAACAGTGGCGGACTTACACCACCCGCTGAAACAACATTACGACAAAAAAGATGGGAATACTCAATAAAAGTGTTCCCCGCGAGGAAGTGGAAATTGGGTATAGCAACATTGAACACCTATAATAAAAAAAATTAATAATCTAAAAAAAAAATTAAAAATAATAATAATAATAATGATAACAATTGCATTTCTTTACATAGCGCATATGCACGCCCTACAGAATGCTCTATGCGCTTTACAACCATTGAATTAATATATTAATATCACCCCAGCAGACCCGAGAACACTCCGAAACATTCTTGACATTCTCGGCTTCCTGGGAATAATAATATGTTACTCTTATTGAAGCAGAAAACAACATGATAAATGTGTCACAACAGGGTGAAACCAGAAGCTCCTAAATTTGGGGGCTTCCTTCTGGAGATATTGCTTAGTCTTAATGCTTGTTCAATTGCCTTGCTTGTCTTGGGAAAAAAATTTCGGTCGTTTAAACGAAAAATGCCAGATCTTAACCATGACTCCAATGACAGTGTACATAGTAAATATAAAGAATAAAACACAAACAACTTTTTCAAAAAATTAAAAACCTTTATTACACTCCAAATTGTTCAGGACAAAATATATACACATGACCATTATCACAACCAATAGCGAGAAAGCAACAGGAAAAAGCAACCGTAAGAATAAGATGTACTCCACACGTCAAAAGCTAGAGATGAAAAACAAAGGAGAGCAGTTGGAAAAACAAACAGTCTGAACAAAAACCACGTCATAAGCAAGCAACAAATATCCGGAGCCAGTTGGTAAGATCGGTTCCGTTCGGTTCAGTTCGGGTTGATCGTCGGGGTAAGCCAGAGATGTTCCTCCATAAAGTCTTGCTGGCTTCATCACTCAGTACTCAAGCTAATTTACGACCGTTTACCAAATGTTTACAACCTTCAAGGCAAATTTACGACCGTTTACCAAATGTTTACAACCTTCAAGGCAAATTTACGACCGTTTACTACCTTGACGGCCAGGGCGCCGAATTTACGACTTTTTTACGACTTTACGACCTTGCTGGACATCCTGCCTGAGATGTTCCTCCATAGAGGGAGAAAGTTACAATCTTGGCACAACCCGAACGAAAGCGATGAAGACCTTCAAGAACAAACAAGTGTGAGGCAGGGTTCTATTCATTAATCATAGTGTGCACTGAAGCAGCAAGAAGCCGAACCGAACCTTCAATGGGCACCGCATATTAGATATAAGAAAACAAAAGCGTTATAGTGATACATTTTCCAAAAGATCAGTAAGCTGCATGCCCAATCATAATACTAGAGTAAAACACGTTAATTACTTCACAAAACTTCTAAGAACTCTGTCTACACATATTATATCTCATAACAATATTGATTTAACATAGAAAATAGATAGTCATTGCAATACTTCACACAATTTTTTTTTAAGCTTTTCTTTAAAAGAAACAAACAGGTGTTTTTAACCCCCAACCGTAAAGCACAATTTAGATTAGTTACAATGAGGCGGGCTCCCATCCTTTCCTCACAGAACTTATCCGGGCTGAGAGGGATACAACATCCAACAGAAACACCAAGACGCTCAATAAAAATTCATCAAACTCTGGTTTCCTGCATGGCGAATTGCCTTTCCACTACACCACAGACGCCAGTATTTTTATTACAATATATTGAACTAGCCCTAAGTCAGTCATTTCAGTACTGCACAAATGTTTTATTTGGAAAACTTCTTCCACCTTATTCAGTCGCTACCTTAGAATTACAAAGTTCTATCTGGCATTTCTGGCCTTTTGAGTTACTAAGACCATGAGGTCAGGAACAAAATCGAAAGATTATTCAGAGTCATTATCAAGATATTCAAAGAATTGCATTCGAATAAGCTTGACATGTTGAGCAACTCCACATTTTTTACATCAAATTTCTCAAAACTAAGTACTGAGCAGTTAGAACTTTGTAATTCTAGGGTAGTGAAGTGCCTTGATCAATCCTTAAATTAAAGCGAAACTTGAAATCCCTCATCAGGACACAGGTTTTGTTTTTTCTCTAGTGTAGAGAGCTTTCTGCAGAAAAAAACAATGATGAAACAAACATTATGCACTTTTTTTTTCTTTTAAGAGCCTATTTTAGTAGAGACAACTGTTTTCATCAGAAAGTTAGATTAAAAGAGGGCAACAACAGAAAAGCTGAACGTTGAACTGTTTAATTTTTGAGTCTGCGAAGACAGAATCACATCAACACAATGACAGTCATCATATAAATAAAGCATGGAAGAAGCAAGACAGACAGAAACGACAAAGGGAAAGAAAAGTGAGACCTGCCAGTGGCGCCCTCTAAACACCCGCACATTCAACTGTTCAGAGTTTTCTTTTTTATTTGATGCAAAGAGAAAAAACAACGTCTATTGCAAGAGTACAAATAGACACAATTTCAGCTGTAGTACAAGACAATTACAGTAAACAATTCCAAGAAAGAAATGATATGTATAATCATGAGGTAAGTAGGCCTAATAATATTAATACTAATAGAAATAACAATAAACAGCATTTCTATAGCCTAAAATTCCCACTCAACGGCAAGCTCTTACTCTTAGCGCTTTACAATCAATACATGGCTAAACATTTACTTTCTGAGCAAAGAGAAATAGGGGAACAAAATCAAGGTTGGTCTGTGATGACGTGTCAGGGTGAGATATCAGTAATCCTCCTACACCACAGAAATAACAATATTTTCAAGAAAAAAAAAAAACCGTTTCCAAAGACTACGAGTTCTCTGTCACTCTGGTCCGAATCGAATCGTAGTCACTACACCAGCGGCCAATTCGACCCATTGCGGCAGATACAGTCCAACACAGAAAACACACAAGTGAAAAACTCAAAATCACAGACGGACAGCTCGTACAATTTGCTATTCCCTGAATGAAATCTCACTGAATTTTCAGTGATTGGTTAACGTGAAAAGTGGATGTGTTGATCCCATAATTTTTCAACCCCCAACGTGTTTGAGTCATCCATGCCCAATGGAGCATGGTGTGAGTCAACTGGTCCAGAACGGCGAATGGAGCAGTCATACATTTAGCAGCTGTTATGTTTCAAGGCCAAAACAACACACTCTAGCTTGCTCAAGGCAGGCAGACTTTTTCGACCGTGCCAGTTGGGGGCTAACTTTGGCAATGTGAGACACATTCCAAAAGAAATACAGACACACATGACCAAATATCCCCCCACCCCTCCCTCACCCCAAAGTTAATGAGAAAATTGTACTGTAATCTTTTGGAAGTAAGACGAAAACCTTCACCACCACACCACTGATATTTATGCCTTTGGAAGAACAATAGCTACATTGAGCAGAGTTTCTAAGCACACAAAGCCATGATGTTGGGTCTTCCAGCAACAACAAAAAACAAAAACAGCTAACACGAAGAACAACACAATTTGAAAGCGATAATGGCCATGTGAGATTCATGATGAGAGTTGACCAAAAAAATGTAGTAATAATAATAATAATAATAATAATAATAATAATTGCATTTACAGAGTGCATAACCACGCTCTACAGCATGTTCTATGCACTTTGCAACTACTATTACCCCAGCAGACCCTGGAACACTCAGAAACATTCTCGGCTCCCCAGGAAGCATACAGTGCAAGCTGCGGATTACACGCGCTCAAACACGAACAATTTGACAAAACCTTCTGCTGTCTATAGCTGGGTACCCATTCCCACCTGGGTGAAATGAGGAAAATTTGTGTAAAGTGTCTTTCCCAAGGACACAACATCGAGTCCTTGACGGGATTCGAACAAACAACCTTACAGTTGCGAGTCCAAAAGCCTAACCACAAGGCCACCGACACCACAAAATTTCAAGATTCTTCACAAAACAAGATTGCTCTTGCAAACAGCAAAGTCAACAAGGAGCCAAAAAGTAAAGCATTTTCATCACATCATCAGATCGTTTACATATTCACATAAAGCACTCGAGATTTCCAAAACCTACTCAAATGAAATTGAAAACAAATTTGTGGGGCATTGCGGTGAAAAAGGGAGCTCATCAAAATACTAAAATTGAAGGAACCAACATTTCTATGCCCGTTGAGAAATTTTTATCCAATTTTTTGTTAAGGGCTCAACACCTTTTATGACTATTGAACAATAAATTTCTAAGTGGATTTAACTGAAAGACATTGATCAAAGACAGAAGAAAATATAAAACTGCAATTTCCATGTCACTACAGCTTTGGAAATCCTTAAACTTTGGCAGCCGTTTTCTCACTAATTTTACTTCTGACACCAGATGACCCCCATTTCCCTCAATTGCAAATGACTCACCTTCTGTTCAAGACAGATGGGTGCCTTTTTTTTATCATAACCAAAGCAAATGAACAGGATTTAAGATTTTATCAGTAACGCCATAACGCTAATATGCCCAAAAATTGATGAGCGCCTAATTCCAAGGTGTCCCGACACATTTTCATATTGGACACACAGTTAAGAAATTCACAAGCTGTTTTCTGAGAAAAAAGAAAAACCAGAAAATGTCTCACATTATCAAACCTGTGAGACTGCGGTGTACTGGAAAGCTAAAACATACCCTCAGCAGAAAGATGAAAATAATATATATTCTCCCCGCACGCGAATCGAACTTCCACCTCCTTCATGCATTGGCAGAGGGTCTACCTTGCTACATCAGTGACGCAAGGTATGGAAAAGCAGAAAACCCATATTGTGTTGGAGTTCTTGAAAGTACACAACTTAATTTGACTTAAAAGGCATGCCAGAAAATTGTCAAGACTTCAGTATTGCAGAATTCATCACAAACATCATTCAAACCACTGCCCAAGTCCTAAACCAATCTGTCTCCACAGGTAATTTACACCTTTTTTCAAGCACAAGAGTGGTCCTCATGATTTAAATTATGGTCAATCTACACTCCACAGATTACAAAAGAGCAATAGCAACATTCTCTTTGCTCCCCTTCCTTCACAGAGGCATTGGGACGCCTCAGCCCCTACACACTGGCCCACATCCACTGCTTGGTGCAACACAACGAGACACACCGTTGTCAAAAGTGATGTATGACGGCCCTTCATACACTGAAAAGCCAACCACATCCATTCCCTAGATGCTGCAAGATCTGGATGCGAAGAACAAGTTGTGCTCCCTTAACAAAACAGGTACACCATGCCGATTAAGTGAGTTAAAATAACTTGATTTCACATTCATTTCCAGCTTGCAACTTATCATAGGAAGATAACTTTTTTTGTGGTGGAGTGCTCGGGCAACAAACCTGCCCCATTTCTTGGGCTATCGGTGCCTGACTGTATGTGGTGCTTATCGGCTGCTCAAAGTGGAACTCATACTTCACTTTTGAAAAAAGCGAATGGCAGAGTCTTACACCAAGCAGTCATTTCGTTTTGAATTCAAGGCCAAACCAACACACTTTAGATAGCAAAATGTAGACTTTTTAGCGCCTGCTTACAGAGGCTAATCTTGGCTATATGAGGCAAATCTATTCCAAGAGAAATTCAGAGATGCAAGATAAAATGTGTATGTGTGTGCCTGGACAAAGGTCCCAGTTGTCAGAAATGTTGGATATAATTGAAAGAAAGGCATATTCTTGTAGCAAATTCAATGCAGAACATGCTGGTATTTTTCAAATATTTTGAGTAGTTTTAAAGATGTGCCACACTTTGTTTTTTAGTTTTAGTAAAAGTTTTACAACACTAGCAACACAATAAGGCCGTATAAATGTTGAAGATTAGAGGTGTTACAAGAGAGTAACAAACATAAAAAAGAAGGAGGAGAGATAAGGACAATAGATGCTCGATAGGAAAGAAGGAGCAAACCACACCAGAGCACACGCCAACCATCCACCCACATTTTGTAATACAGGGTATAAAAACAAAGCTTGGAGAAAAATGGCTTTAACTTGAGAATGTTGACCCAATTCTTAGCGAATTTTTAACCTTTGGTAAAGTACATGTTGCAAAATTAATTAATTAAAAAATATTTAGACTTAAAAGATGCTAAAACCCTTTCAATACCTTGAGATACGGTCAAGTGTTGTTTTCTGATGGTACTAAATCACCTCATTACTCAAAAACCTAAAAATAGTAATAGCTTTGCAGACAACTGGGACCTTTCTCCAGGCACACACACAAATATATCTCTCCTCCTCCCCCTGCCCCCCACCAACCCTCTGGCTGCAGAATTATGCTAGCAGGGATCTGTAAGACAAGCTGAGTTGGTGAGTTCACTCATCATGAAGAGAAAAATGTAAAGAGAGAGAAAAACTGTACAATGCACCAGTTAGCACCAGCGTTCAGTATGGAGTGTAATATGACGGGGGGAGAATGTAGGTGAAAAGTTTGGTTGGGGCTTTTTTTTCGTTAATTTTTGTTAGAATTTTACTGCACTTGTAACACAATAAGGTCATATAATGTTAAAGACTATTGTTTCAGTTGTTCTAAGTTATGCTTTTAACAACAGAAAAATATCCACGTTATATCTTTCTTCCCAACACAAGAACAGGCCTTTCTGCTGGTGATCAAACTAGAGAGTGGTCAAAAATTCGGGAGCGACTTATTTTCAAATATCTCCTCAACTATCGAACATAGGTTCTCTAATTCTTGCACAGTGACTTGTATCAATTTGTCTCAACAGATCAACATTTTGTAAACACCTGTAAGCATATTCTAGAAAATTCCTTAATAAATACTAATAAAAAATCCAAGTGGGTGGTTTCTACAGATTTTTTAATGTTTACAGCTGGAGTAAATATAGCTTTTAATAGTAAGTTCGTCAGGTTTTTCTAATCGGGACATTACGCTATTAAACGCATGTTATGAGAACCATTAGTGCAAAAATGTGTTCACTATAACAATAATTTCTGGAACAAGTTTTGCAAGTAAAAATTGTCTTTGAAGAGCTCTGACGTAGGCCATGTGTGTAATCAAAATGTGGGTGAGAAGCGGGAAGTGTTGTGAACAATACCATTTTAAGTGTGACAGAGATTTCAAGTATTTTATATAAATTTATAAAAAAAAGTTTTTTACTCTAGCTCCAATCGTATAAGACAATTTGATACAAACTGCTAGGAAAAGTATGGATGACATTGATTCACCCGTTAAAGAGATATTTGAGGATAAGTTACATCACGAATTTTTTTACCACACTATAATAACTCCTAACAACTTTGACATTTAGTACCAAGGAAAGCACTACAAGCAGAGAATTCTCTTACATTACATAATTTTTTGGTCTATTCAAGAGTGGACTGGTGTCAATGACAGCAGGTGGCAAAGATAGTGATGAACACGGGAGAGCATATCTTAAAACGTGTCGTGTAGTAAATTTCTGATTCTGAATAGAAAAAGTTCTGCGGAGGCTGTCACTATCTTGATTCTAATATTTTCTACAATCAAGTAAAAACTTTACATTTTTTTAAAGACTTAGATTTGGTGGTAAGTGACACGAAGAGTTTAATACCTAACAAAACTAGTCACAGGATCTACTTCACAGCTAACACAGACAAAGCAGTAGCAATCGGACCGGCCAGTGACAGTTGTAGTAAAAGTTTTACGGCACTTTCAACACAATAAGATCATATATGTCCCAAAGATTAGAGGTCTTAACACAAAAAAGAAGGAGGAAAGATATGGACAATAGATGTTTGATAGGAAAGAAGGAGCAAACAATACCAGAGTACCCGCCAAGCACCCACACCAGTGACAGTCTTGCTGAAGCACTGTATGTATTCGAACCTTAACCTGGTACCCCCCTGTCCTGACAACATTATTATGCCTTCTGCTCACAGATCAAACAGACAACGGTCAAAGTTGAGCCAAAGGTTTAGTAACTGTCACTAGAACCAAAACATGGAATGTTTAGTTGGGCAAAGATATAAAATAAGCAATAACAATATTTAAATAAAAAAGCATCCAATATATAAGAAATAACATTCACGTTTTACAGTCAGAATAACAACATCATCATCATCATCATATATGGCATCTCTGTACATAACTCAAAGGCTGAAAGATAACTTGGGCTGTTTACAAACATCAATGAGTTCAGATTCAAAACAGGAAAAAATAAATCAATGAGTGCAGTCCAAAAAAGCATATAAGCAAATCAGATCAAAGTAGCAGTAAGTTTTGAACAGACTCAGCACTTCACCACCAAACAAAGAAAGAGAAAGAAATAAAAAGATATTGTACATAATCCTGTATTCACAGGAAGACAGGTCCCTACGCAAAAAAAGTTTGCAAAAAAAGCTTGCAAAAATAAGAAAAAACCATTCGAAACATAATAATAAGTTCTTAGACGAGACTGAGAAGAAAATAATTAATTGACGTCTGGTCACTTGTCCTAAAAGTAATGTCCTAAAACATCAGTATTTCCCAGAGAATGGAATGCAAGGAAATAAAACGCTCCAGCACTGCATTTATACTTCGGCGGTTTTCGGCGCCACATCAAAATGGAAAAAAAAAACCCCACAAAAAAGAACCCCCCACCAATTTTAACTCATTGACAACAACCAGCCAACTAATCAGCTCAGTATTCTTCCTCGTCACTACGAAGAGCCTTTTCATCAGCTCGACGAAGCGTCTCTCCAGCTACTCCAGTCCAGACCTTTGGATATTCCATGTTTTGAACAAGCTATTCAGATGGGTTGTTTTTTTTCAAAACATAATTACTTTTTAAAAATATATGATACATTACACTTTGAAAATCAAATGGTTAACTAGACGTCAAAACTAAACATGAGCTACACAGGTGCTGCCTGCAGATGAAATTACATCCAGGAGGGTAGAAAATTATGTGGCGAATGAGATAAAGACCCTCAGTGACCACCTGATATTGACCTTTTTTCCTGTAAGCACAGCAATTCCTTTTCTCTGGTATTTTGTTGAGGGCTCTCTTTCAGACCATCATGGCAAACCCTAGAACAACATTCAATTTCACATTTTCAAATAATTGACAAACGAATCATGTTACAGTGGATGCTAAAACCAGATTCCATTTAACACCACAATTTTTTTTCCCAATCAGGTCGTGGTCATTGAGATATATGTCCTGATGGTACAACAAACTGTTCCCTCTGAAGTGACAGTAGAATACAGTAATATTTGTACAAGCGTTGATTATATTTCTCCTTTACAACTTCATTCTCGCTACAAATGTCTCACACAAAATAAAATTAATAAACCACAAGTAGTTTCTACAAGTATATATTATATGTATGTATATATATATATATATATCTGCTAACTATAAGATTTGTGCTTTATGACCAAGAAAAAAAGAACTCAGTACTTCGCTGCCTTAAGCTGACAAAACACATCTTTCATTTTTGGCGACATTTTTTCTTAGTTGCTAAATTGAAAGCCTGATCAGTTACCCAACTTGCATGGCAAAATCAAAGATGATACCAATAACTCAATATGCTAAAAAAAATTGACGAGTGCCTGATTCCGCCACGTCGTGCCACATGTGGTGGGAGAACAAGAATCACCAGCGTCCATTCCCCAGAGGCTGCAAGATCTGGATGTGAAGAACGAGTGGTGCTCCCTTAACAAAACAGGTACACCGTGCCAATTGAGCGAGTTTAAATAACTAGATTTCACATGCATTTGTAGCCTGCAACTTATCATAGGAAGATAGCTTTTGTTTTCTGCAGGAGTGAATTAAGAGGCAGGGCCAAAGCTGTACACATATTTGGTAAAAACCAAAACTTCATTTTTTTACTTCTGTGAAAGGTGCAAAATGGACGAATATATGAGTAAAGAGAGCTATTTGAGAGGCAACGCAAATATTAAAAAAACAAAAAAACTAACACATTTGTACATTTTCCTTTTCATAAGTATCTCCATTTTTCAATACGTTTTCAGAGCAGTTTGCTTAACCCTATCCGTACGTCGTGTTTTACTATCGTATCCATACGACATGGGAAACTCTGCGCCACCACTTTCCAAAGCGGAAATTAACTCATTCATCCGATCCATACGCTTTGCATAGCAGTCTGTCAAAATTATTTTTTGAAAAATACAGAACGTTTCAAAGAGATCTTCATACTAGAAGTATTCTAAAATGCGAAGAATACAACCCCGGGGGTACAAAAAGACCCCAGGGCGAACGGAGAGGGTTAATATCGAAACAATTTGTCTTTACTATAAAAACATGAGAAATTAGAACTTTTCAAAGATGAGATGGTAGCCAGAGGTTTCACCAACTTTCACTAACTCATACATACATGGAACTACTTTTCTCAAACCCTCGTTGAGATTCCAACTGGGGAAAAATGACAGAATGGCCCCACAGGAGAACGTTCTGGATAAAACACTTGCTTTATCACTTCCACTTTTAGTCCTGGCAAGTCGATTTCTCCACAAGTTTGTTCCTATATATTAAAAATATTCTCCGCAACTTCCATGGATTTTCTGAAATCATTTCACATTTTTTCTGTGTTTCAGATCATTTTCTAGCCAAGCCAGAGTTTCCATCAAAATAAGACAGTCGACTGGGTCTCTAAGTTTCCTTTGAGATTCTGGAACAAATATCCATAAGAAACAACAACAACAAGTTTTAGTGGAACGTTCAAGTCCTACTACTGGAGTCTGAGAGGTAACTTGAAAGGCAGAAAAACAACACGAGTTTCTTGTAAACAATAATAACTTACAAAATCCCAAGAGTGACAACAGTCAAATACAATTTTTTTTAAAAATAGGAAAGACATTCCTTAGTCCAGTGCCAGGCACATGTCTACAGTAAGCAACTTCTTCCATACCATGCACAAATGTTTTCAAAAGTTGGGTTTCACTTCTTTTTTCTTTCAATTTACAATTTACAAAATAGGGAGGAGTAAGTGGGCACTTACTTTCCACAATGTCTCTGACTTAAGAGTAGAATCTTTTTGTCCGAACTTAATACACGTTCTGTCCGGGTCTCGTTAGCTTGGACTTGACACTGAAGGTCCAGCCGAACAAAAACTAAACCCATGAAATCACAAGGCAAGGGAAACACATTTCAAGCGGTGTGTTCCCATCGAAGAAGAGACGTCCACTTGTACAGAATCAACATCAACGCTCCGAAATCTGAGATAGAATCTGGTGCCCTACAGTTGGACAACTAAAGTCAACAGAAAAAGAGGAAACACACTGGAATGAACATTGTATAAAATATATAGATAGATAGATAACATATCCTTTGTTGAATCATGTAATAATTAAAAAAAAACAAATTTTAAGGAAACAAAGTTTGAATGAAATGCGAGGTTATTGCAGAAACAACAAAAACAGCTGGTGGCTGCTCCAATAAGACTCTGGGCCCACAGTGATAGGGTTGGTGGTTCAAACCCTGAAGTTCCAGAGATCTGAAGGAATCATATTGGATGACACAGCAAAGTCCCTGCAAAAACCTGATGAGAGGGAGAGAGGGAGAGGGGGGGGGGGGGGCGGCGGGAAGGGGAGAGGGAAGGGGAGAGGGAAGGGAGGGAGGGAGCGGCACAGATAGAGGTAGAGAGCGCGAGTGAGAGAGAGACACAGAAAGAGTGAGAGAGACAGAGACACAGAAAGAGTGAGAGAGACAGAGACAAAAACAGAAAGAGTGACAGAGACAGAAACAGAGAGAGTGAGAGAGAGAGACAGAGACAGAGACAGAGAGAGAGAGAGAGAGAGAGAGAGAGAGAGAGAGAGAGAGAGAGAGAGAAAGAGAGAGAGAGAGAGAGAGAGAGAGAGGGGGGGGGAAAGAAAGGGTAAAAATGTTTTTAAAATGTCAACAACTTCTCTAACACATACAGACTTCAAAATAAGTTAAGGACCACCTTGACAGACAGCTCTGATTTTTTAAAAATCTGAAAAAAAAGACAGCAAGGAATGTTTCATAATTTTTTGCTCTGAAAGTGTTAATGGGTTAACAATGCGTAATGCAAAGCTTTCATGAGGGGCAAATCCACCACGTGCAGCATGGAAATCCTCAGGGAATTTTCGCCAAATTGGCTGGTTTTTATCAACTTGTGTGCAACACCACAGACATTCCTCAATTAAAATTTCTGGTGAACGTCATAAACGGACGTATGGTCTCGAACTGTATTCACTTTGGTGGCAATAAAAGCCACCGTTTACGCAAAATCCAGTATTGCATCAACATGCCACCAAGACGAAAGCTAAGAGACTTTAATCGTGCCAGAGCTATGGCATGGCTGCAGGATGGAGTTGGAGCCCGAGAAGTTGCCAGAAGGCTTTCAGCGTCACACTATGTCATTGTCTGCCTGAGGCAGTGCCATCACGCCACTGGATCAGTCCAAGAACACCAACATGCAGGTCGACCCAAAAGGACCACACAGAGTGTTTGCAAGTGGTCCTTAACTTATGTTGAAGTCTATATAATGGACTAAAATCATATTCCTATTTTGGTCTTTTTCTCAAGAAAAAAGGTAAACAAAATCAACTAAATTTTTACCTCTCTTAAAAATCATAGATACGTTTTGAAAAAAGTTGCAGCTGTAATGGAGCCTGTTAGTTTTTTTTTCCCTCGAGAGAAAGAAATGTGTGTATGCATCAAAATCACAAACATACTTCACATGTAGAAGGGGGGCAGGCTAAGTCACCAGAAACTTGTTTGTTAATTTTGGGGGTCTTTTTTAAGTCAAAGTTTTACAGCACTTGCAACACAATAAGTTCATAAGGGTGCGAAAGATTAGAAGTGTTCTAAGAGAGTAACATACACAAAACAGAAGGAGAGATAGGGACAAAAGATGTATAATAGAAAAGAAGGAGCAAACCACTCCAGAGCACTCACCAACCACCTGCAGAGTAACTTGACTATACCGATCTCCAAGTGCATGTGGGTCCCACAATCTGTTCCTTCATGATTTGTTAGGTGACCTCTCAGTAAACAGACAACCTCCCCCACACCACACACACATCCACACCACACCCACATTGAACCCAGTCTTCCTGCCCCCACCCACAATAAAATGTAGAAGAACCCTGTCGTACTTACACACACACACACACACACACACAAACATACACACACACACACATGCATGCGAGAAACAAACACGCATACAAACGCACAAGAACACACACACACACACACACAAGCGAGGACACACACAGACACACAGACACACACACACACACACACCCATGCACATAAACTCATACACAACTGAGGTGAATGAAGCAGTGAAAGAATAAGGTGGTTGGTTATAAAAACTGATTTGTTTGTTTGAGAAAAGAGAAGCACATTTCCACAATAGTGATCATTTAGTCCTGGGAAAAAGTTTGACATACTGACAGAATCAACAGAGGGAAAGTAAAGAAGTAGGGCCTACCAGTTGCGCCCTCCAACCACCCGCATATATATGTACGGACAGAGAAAAGCTACCTGGCAATATCTGGACACCTCCCCTCTCTGACCATTAGCCAATGACCAGAGGTTCATCATCTGAGAAGCCCTGGATGAGCGGCTCATCTCCATCTGAAAACACACAAAGAATAAAACCCTCAAAAATTGTATTAGTTTTTAGCTTTTGTAAGAGTTTTACGGTACTTGCAACACAATAAGGTCATATAAGTGCCGAAGATTAGAGGAGTTAGAAGAGATAAGAAGGAGAGATCAGGACGATGATAGTTTGATAGAAAAGAAGGAGCAAACCACACCTGAGCACCCACCAACCACCCACATAGTATTTGTGTTGAGTAATGACTTGTCTCTCAGTTAATACAAATTAGGACTTTACAATCTGTAAATACCCTTATTGTTTCATAAAATACTCTTCTAAATGCTTCCTTTACACATTGCAAATCAGATACAGAATTTGTCATAGACTTTTTTTTTAATACAAAGAAGTCTTCTAAATGAGAGCATGGTTAATCCAAAACAGCGGAAAAACAAACAAATAAAATAATATCCTGGATTTTTTTCTTTCACTGTTTAAGCAATCTTTCTCTTTTAGTGTTAGTAGGAGTTTTACAGAATGCGCAACACAACAAGGTCATATAGGTACCCAAACACAAAAAAAGGGGGGGGGGAGGTAGTTAAGGGCAATAGATGTTTGATAGAGAGAAGGAGCAAACCACACCAGAGCACCTGCCAACCACCCACACAATCTCTCTAAGCTGAAAACATGGCTAAACCTAATAAAATCAGCCACCCCACCTCCCTCCGGATTTTGGGGTAAACTGACTCCCCAAAACATTACAATACTATTATTACTATCATTAGTCTCTGGCTAGTCTTAACAATCTAAAATAAAATTGAGCATAGCCAACGGTGAGGGAAGACCAAAATTCCACAACTGAATGCTGTAATGGCTGTCTGAACAGATAAAAACAAAAACAAGCAAAAACAATAACAACACACAAAAACAACTACTTCAGATAGCAACAACAACCACAACAACAACAACAACCAGAACAACAACAAAACGTAACAAGATCATCCGAGGTGGTGGTGGTGCCCAACCGAATGTTGTAAAGGCCTTCCGTACCAACAGCAGCAACAACAACAACATACCGAGATCATCGGAGAAGGTGGTGGTGCCCGACTGAATGTTGTAGTGGCTGTTGGCAAAGGCCAGGAAGCTGCGCTGCAGTCGTTTGTGCCTCACAATGAAAACCACCAGGCCGGCACTCAAGAGGACCACCACCACGCCCACGGGCACCAGGATAGCCACCAGATTTGTCTTCTTGATGGACACCGAGTCGTCATCTTGGCGACTGGCCCCCGGCTGTGAGAGAACTGAGCAGGACGAAAAAGAGAAAGTACATGTGTCATGACGAGGTGGTACCAGGCGCTCATCAATTTTTGAGCAGGCAGAGTTATTGGTATCATATTAAAGCTTGTTCATTTATCTCACTCCACAGCACCCTCTATGCACTTTACAATCTATATATTATTACCCCAGCAGACCTGATGAGAAGTACACAGTGCTAGCTGCCACTTTACAACTTTACAGATGCTAAAACCCTAACTGCATGCAAAACAATTAATTAAAAAGGAAAACTGAAGTTAAACAGCTGACATTTGGATTTACAATTCTTTTGTCTACGATGGCAGAAGGCCGACCTTTGGAACTTACAAAGGAGAATTCCTTCTAGTTTGGTGGTAAATGACTGACATTTGGGACTTACAAACGAATTTTTCGGTGTCAACCATAACATACAGGACTCATAAGAGAATTTCTTTAATTGCGAGAATAAATGGCTGACGTATAAGACATACAAGAGAATTACTTTGTGTACCAAGATAAATGGCCGACATATTGGACTTAAAAGAGCATTTTTTTGCTTGCGACCATTAATGGCTGACAACTGGGTCTTATAATTTCTTTCAATGCAACGATTAATGGCTGATTAAATGGCACCAAAAAATGTGTTTTTGTGCGGCGATAAATGGCAGACATTTGGGACTTACAAGAGAACTCTTTTGTGTGCGACTCGGCCAGGACCGTGTCCTCTTTGGACATGGCTTTCACGTGGATGTTGAAGACCCGGTCCACCGGGAGGTCAGACAGGTCAATGTGAGACTCGGAGGTGTGGTTGGCCCAGCTGAAGATCCTGCTCTGGTCAACGGTGGACACTATGTACTCCTGTTACAGAAGGGGGATTTTTTAAATTTTTTTTTTAGGGGGGGGGGGGGTTGTTTGTTGTTGTTGTTGTTTTGTTGTTGTTTTTTTTTTTTGGGGGGGGGGGGTTGTTTGGAGGGGATTTGGTGGGGATTGGAGAGGAGAGATTGAGGTATGGGGTATAGAAGAGATGAGATTGTGGAGGTGGTTTGGGGGCAGGGAATTGGAGGGTAGATTATGGTATGAGGTATTGGAGAGGGGAGATAGTGGTAAGGGGTATTGGAGAGGGGAGATTGGGGTATGGGGTATTGGAGAGGGGAGATTGGGGTATGGGGTATTGGAGAGGGGAGATTGGGGAGAGGGGGGGATTGGATGGGAGAGGGGGCGAAGTACATGTAGAGAGGTGGAGGGAGAGGGGAGGGGGGAGAAAAAGTTTTCGGTCAAAGCTATGTTCTTTTAGCATTCAAAAAAAAATTGCCAGGAATCAGAAAAAGAGCACAGACCCTCAAAGACAGACAAGACAGCGACTGAGATAGGGAGGAAGGAGAGAGAAAGACAATCAGAGAGAGAAAGAGACAATGAATGAGAGAGAGAGAGAGAGAGAGAGAGAGAGAGAGAGAGAGAGAGAGAGAGAGAGAGACAGACAGACAGACAGACAGACAGACAGACAGACAGACAGACAGACAGACAGACAGACAGACAGACAGACAGAAACAAAGAAAGAAACTAACAAACAAAGAAAGACAGAAAAAGGGGGAATAGGACAAAAGAATGGGAATATAAAAAAGAAAGAAGGAAAAAGAGTGACAGAGAAAAACATAAATAAAAGAAGAAAGAGAGAAGAAAAAAGTCTCAAACAGAACCATCATTAACCCTTTCACAGCCTTTTCTAAGACAGCATAAGCTTCTTGGTGAGGTTATAAAGCATCCGCCTGATCAATCGTCTCCAGCAGGTTTTCCGGTCATTTTGGGGGTTTATTTATTGCCTCTTTTTTTTTCAGTAGGAATACTTTAAGCCAAGTTGTCATGTAGCTTATGTGAATGTGTGGTTTTTAGAGGACACAATCGTGAAGTTCTTAAAACAGCGCTTCCACCAGCCGAAGCTGAAAAGTAAGGAAAATTCTGCCGACCAACTCGCAATGAACGTATGGGGCATAGCGGAATAAAGGCCGATTGCAGAAAATGCGCGATCTGGCAGGTATCTATAACATTAACTTATTGCCGAGAGAATTACTGTAAATATCTGTAGCTTTTACAAAAAGATACGAAGGCGAGTACGGATCTATTGCTACGGAATTTCAGTAGATATCTAGTCCTACGCTGTCACAGTTTTTTTACGGAGGGAGTTGATAATGATGAAGGAACAAGTACAGAACTGGAAGAAAGTACGGATTTCCGTAAAAATACGGAAGAGTGGAAGCACTACTAAAAGCAAGGAAAAAAAGAAATCCCCCCCCATAAATCAATAGCAAAGTTTCAATTTACCTTAAAGTTTTGCGTGTCTTTCTGAGGCCAAATCCAGAAGATGGACAGACTGTCCACGCCCGTCACCGCAAACTGGACGTCGCTGATGGCCCCAAGCTCGGCTGAAACACATGGACACTTTTCTTTTTAGTTTTTCTTTTTTCTTTCTTTATTATATTTTTTTAAAATTTTAAATAGTAGAAGGTTTTATGGCACTCGCAACTGCATAAGGCCACATGAGCGCCAAGGGGTGGGTGTCAACAGAGAAGTCTTTACAGGGTATCAGACTTAGGCTGCTCACCTCTCTAGCTTCAACAGCACAAGGTCTGCTTCGACTGTCAAGGCACCCTGGAAATAGCAGGTCACAAGAGAGTGACAAACATACAAAAGAAGTAGAGGAAAATGACCATAGTAAGGATCAGGAAAGAAAAAGCAGCAGTTCCCTGTGGTAGATCAGGCACAGTTATGAGCATGACATGAGTCAGCCCATTTACAATTCTACTATGCTTGAACGAGAAATGTCCCCCTTTGGGAATGGCCTAAAGACACTACAGTCAGTGGCACTGCCCCGGGGGGTAATTATTTTAGTTAAAGTAAGAGTATTACTATACTTGCAACACAATTAGCTCATACATACATGCCGAAGATCAAAGGCGTTATTAGACGGTAACTTACACACAAAAAAAAGTGGAGGAGAGATAAGGACCAGAGGTGTTTAATTGGACAGAAAAGACCGGAGCATCCACCAACCACCCACCTCTATCATTACGGCAAAGCAAAAGTTAAATACCTCAGTCAAATAAACAAAAATGAAAATGGTGGAAAAGGGCGGAGAGCAAAGGAGGGGTTGGGGTAGGAGGCTAGAGGAAAGGAAGGGTAGTGGTGGGGTGGGGTGGGGAGAGGAAAGGAGGAGTGGGGGAGGGGTATGTTAACAATAAAACAGTTCTTTAACCCTTTGAGCCCTGGCCACCGATACACCGGTGGATGAGCGACACCCTATCCCCAAGCCCGCCCCCCTGAGAAAACGTGGGTGGGGAAAACAGCGTTTACAACACAAGACATTACTGATTATTTTGAAAATCTTTCTGAATTAGATTCTACTAATGACAGGGACAACCCTGAGTGGATATGGAATCATCCAAATGTGATTCTGACGATCATATAAAAGTTAGTAATATATTGCTCAGGAGTTCAGGCAGAGGGGTATGGTAGCTTTAGGAGGTCAGGGCTCAAAGGGTTAATGAGGTGAAAGAAAGTACAGAAAATAAAAATTAACAAATCCTTTAAAACAAAAACCACAAACTAAATCCAAGACATGCTCAATTAAAACGTTTTCAAAGTTCAATATAATTAGTTTAGTCTTTTAGAGGTTTTACAATATTTGGAAACACAAATAAATCATATAAACATAAATAGATAAAATAATGTCAGTAACACAGGGTTTAAGTGCGTGGTCACTGGGGTGTGTCCTTGAGCAAGACACGACAACCCTACTAAAAAAAACTGGGCACTGCACACAGGCGACCGGTAATGGCTTGGTTGAGAAACTGTTCTGTATTGGTGTAATATTGTGTATTTATGTATGTATATGTGTACGTATTTATGCATGTATGTATTTATAATTATGTATTAATGTATGTTTGCCATTGTAAAACAAATTGCCCTTCTGGGAACAATAGAAATATAATTCATTTTATCTAATTTTATTTACAAGAGCCGAAGAATAAAGATGTTACTAGTGAGTAACATACATATAGAAAAAAAGGAGGCGAAATGAGAGTGGTAGAAGTTTCATAAGGAACAAGAAAGAACCACATCAGAGCACCCACCAACTGCCCATAGTTCAAAATACGGGCGAGGAAAGTCGGACATCACATGTCAAGTGAGGTCCAAAAAAACACCCAAACATAACCCAACATAACCCCACCATACCCCCCCCCCCCACCAAACAAAAACAAAAGAAAACAAAAAGTTTTACAGCAACTCACGGATTGTCATGGTAAGCGGGTGACTTTCTTGAGAGCCGGCCACATAGGTGCGCACCGTGAACCTATAGTGACAAAAGTTGTGGTAAAGTTGTAGAGTACGGAGAGTTGGCACATCAAGAACCACATCTCACCCGGAACAGAATGGCTCTTTTAGTTTTACTACGAGTGTTACTGCACTTGCAACACAATTAGGTCATACACTCACTTACTCACTAATTCACGCACGTACACACACACACACACACACACACACACACACACACACACACATATACACACTTTGTTTTCAGTTTTAGTAAGAGTGTTGCTGCACTCGAAACACAATAGAGTCATAGAAGTGCCGAAGATTAGAGGTGTTACAAGAGAGTAGCATACACAACAAAGAAAGAGAGGAGATGAGGACAATAGATGTTTGATAGAAAACAAGGAGCAAACCACACCGAGTACCCTCCATACACACACACACACGCACATCCATACACACATACTCTCTCACATCCTCCCCTCTATACACATATGTGAGGCAGCGTGGTGGAATCATCTTATAGCTTGTTCATTTGTTTTGCTTTCAATGAAAACATTACCCATCCATCTTCAATAGAAGTGGAGATATTTTGGATTGAAGGAGATGCGGGATCATCTGATTTAAGAGGTAAATTAGCGAGAAAATGGCCGCCAAAGCTTGGTAAATTCCAAAGCTGGAGAGTCCATGGAAACTGTAAATTTATATTTTTGTGTCTTTAATCAACGTTTTCGGTGAAGTCCTCAGAGGAATGTGTTTGTAAATGGACATAAAAGATGTTGAGCCAAATAACAAAAATTTGATAAGAATTGCTATGCAGGGAGAAAACTGCTGTTTTCTTCGATTTCATTATTTGGACGAGAGCCTGATTCCAGCACGCTGCCTCACATATGTAAATATCAGCTTGCACTCAAACCGGTGTTTCTTGAGAGCAACATACAAAATAAGAAGGAGAGATAAGGACAATAGAAATTTGATAGGAAAGAAGGAGTTTAAAAACCCCACCAGAGCATTCGCCAACTACTCACAAAAAAGTTGTAAGCCCGGTCAGCCCTGTTTCAGAGAAAGCGAATAATATTTGAGAAGTACACTTTTCTTGCAACAACAAGCTCTCATTTTATTTTTCAACCAGCGTGCACAAGACTTTCATTACATGTTCTTTAACACACTTGAGCCTATTCCCTTGTATTTATGGGCTGGCCCAGTGGCCAAATCTCGTGTATTTATGAAATGTGCTCTATCGATCGATATCTCCATTGTTTTTCGGTTATAAGCTACAGCAAGCGATACACCAACAGTTGACCCACTTGTTTCGTTTCATTAAAAATTTGGCGAAGTTATGTGTGACACTTTTTGAGCTGTAACGGACTAGATATATTAAGCTGTCCCTGTGGTTTTATGCACTCCGCATAATTTAGCAAAATTTGATCATTTTTTGCAAAATTTCCGATTATTTTCCTTTATCATTCTTTGTTAAAATTAACAGAATCGCATAATTTCACATTTTGGGGCTCAGTCTGCATAATTTCAGAAATTTTCTTGCATAAAACGGCGGGGACAGATTAAGTCAGTCATCCCGCATTGCGATAGATGATTTTTATATTCTAATTGGGCGCGGGGGGGGGGGGAATGCGTAACCCCAAGACATTGCCATTTCAAAATATTGGTAAAATAAAAACTATTTGGACAATTCAAATGCAGTTTTCTTTTTCCGTGAGCTCATTTCTTTCTTTGTTTTGTTGCAGTAAAAAAAATTATGACAGCTTTCAGTCTTTTTGTGGATAATGCTTTAATATACCCCAAAACTGTCAGGCTGCTATGGTTGTCGGGTGAAAAATAGCTCAGGCTCAAGTGAATTAAAAGTATGAAGATGAAAAATGAGTTCTCTCTCTCTCTCTCTCTCTCTCTCTCTCTCTCTGTTTCTCTCTCTCACAATCCCCAGTTCCTCTCTCTTTTTCTCCCTCCCTCCTCCCACTCCATCTTCTTCCCCTACCCCTCCTTCTTCTACTTCCCCCGACCACAACTCACCTGTAGGTCTCCCCGCTGACCACCTGTTTCACCACATAAGAAAGATGTGACTCATTGGTGGCTTTTGGAGTGACAAAGTTGTTGGCACTTGAAGAACCCATCTTGATTTGCAGCAGGTATCTCTGGCAGGGAGGACAGCAAATTGTTTTAGTGTGCGTTTTAAGGCACTTGCAAAGCAAAAAAGTAACAAAAAAAGTGCCGAAGATTAGTGTTGCAAGAGAGTAACATACACAAAAAAGAAGAGATAGGCCTAAGGACGATAGATGTTTGATAAGAAAGAAGGAGAAAACTACATCAGTGCACCCGCCAACCACCCACTTTAATGAGGGTCAGGAATGAACAATGATAACCCCGCCCACTGAGGGCAACAAGTGAACAATTATAACCCCGCCCACTGAGGGCAACAAGTGAACAATGATAATCCCGCCCAGTGAGGGCAACAAGTGAACAATCATAACCCGCCCACTGAGGGCAACAAGTGAACAATGATAACCCCGCCCAGTGAGGGCAACAAGTGAACAATCATAACCCGCCCCCTGAGGGCAATAAATGAACAATTATAACCCCGCCCATATATGGATAGATAACTGCAATGACGATATGTTTCCACAAATAATGGGCACAAATGAGCAAGAAAAACCAGGTCTACTCACAACAGGCACCGGAACGTGAGAGCAGGGAGCTGACCACGTCAGGGTTACAGAGTACGACCTTTCAAATTTCTTCAGTTGACCTTTCAGGTGCTTTGGTGCGGCCGACTCATCTGAAAAAACACAAGTGTTTTAGTTTTAGTAGTAAGAGTTTAACAACACTTGCAACACAATAAGGTCATATAAGTGTCGAAGATTAAGGGTGTCACAAGATAGTAACAAATACAAAAAAGGAGGAGCGATAAGGTCAAACCACACCAGAGCAACCGCCAACAGCCCGAAAACACAGGTATCATATCTCTCACTAGTAAGTTAAGTGTATTTGTTTTAAAAATTAAATGACTTAACTACCGACACGTCACAACATTTTTGTTAAAAAGTAAAACAACATTTCAAAGTGAAAGATATCCTTTTACTTTTCCTCTCTGTTGGCCAACTTTGTTACCAAATTATTTTTAAAATTCCAATCACTGTCGGGAAAAACGGAAAGAGAAACTAAGTATATCCGTTTAAAGCGTCAAGAATTGGAACTGGAGCTTATCACACCTTTTCTATGGACGACAGTTTTGAGGGTTTTTTTTTAAAAGAGCCTTTTTTTATTTTGTAAGCATTTTACAGCACTAGGAAAACAATTAGGACATAAAAGTGCCAATGATTAGAGGTGTCACAAGCGTGTTGCAAATTTTTTTTAAAAGGAGGAGAGATAAGGACAATAGATGTTTTTTTAGTGTGGGGTTATAATAATAATAATAATAATTGCATTTATATAGCGCATATCCATGCTCAAGAGCATGCTCTATGCTATTACAACTATTATTACCCCAGCAGATCCCCTGAGAACACTCATAAACATTCTCAGCTTCCGCGGAAGCATACAGTGCAAGCTGCGGATTTCACGTGCTCAAACACTATCAAACTGACAAGATCTTTCCCTGTCTATAGCCGGGTACCCATTTCCACCTGGGTGAAGTGAGGAAAATTTGTGCCAAGTGCCTTTCCCAAGGACACAACGTCGGGCCCCTGACGGGATTTGAACCCACAACCTTACGGTATCGAGTCCAAGAGCCTAACCACTAGGCCACCGACGCTCGCAACTGCATAAGGTCATATGAGCGCGCGAAACACAAGTTAGTTTTTTTAATACGTAGTTCCCTGCACGGCTGGGTATGGGTCATTTGATCTTAAACGTTAAAATATTAAAAATTTGGCGTAGATATATGATTTCAGACTAAGACTTTCATAAAAATTTTTAATATCCGATTTTATTCTATACTACAATTTCCATAAAGGCCAATGGTCTTCATAAAATCCAAAATTCTGTTGGGACCAACGACGGAAAAAATGTCTTGCAGTTTATCTATTAGTTTTTTGTATTCTGCATTAAAAGTTTTGGTGTTTGTGCTTTCTTTGTTGTGTGTGGTCAGCTGTAAGTCAACTTTTGCCTTGGTGAGGTGTCACGGAGGGAGGTCGGGGAAAAGAAATTGTTGGATGTCTTGTTTGGAAAAGTGTAAGTTTTTTAGGTCCTCAAGGATTCTGAGGCCGAAGGGTTTGATGAGTTTTTCGTTGTTTTGGAATTTGTTTATGGTTTCTGGGTTTGTTTTAAAAATGCAGTTGTGCACTGGATTTTCTGGTGTTGAGCTCTGTTTAATTGCGTATTGTAGTGAGAGTTGTGTGCGTCTGAGTGTGAGTGATGGTATGTTTGCCTCGGTCTGGAGGCTCTCCACCGGGGAAGAGCAGAAAGCCCCCAGAGCGAGGCGGAGTCCTTGGTTTTGTACAGGGTCTAGCATTTTCAGGATGTGTGGTTTTGCCAATCCGTTGACTTGACAGCCGTAGTCAAGCCTGGACCGGACAAGGGAGATGTACAAGTGGAGAAGGGGTTTTGAGTCCCCGCCCCACTCAGGATGCGATAGAATTTTCAAAGCGTTTAACGCTTTCCGGCACCTCATGCGAAGGTCTTTGACGTGTGGTACGAATGTGAGTTTTTTGTAGAATATAACGCCGAGGAAACGAGCTTGGTTCTGGACGGGAATCCTTTCCCCGTATAGTGTCAAATCCGGTTGCAGCACACATCTGCCTGTTCAGCAGAAGTGTACTGCAACCGTCTTTGACGGGGAGGACTTGAAACCGTTTTTGCTTGCCCACTTTTCGAGTTTGTGCGGCTGCGTTTGCAGCTGCCTTTCCATAGATCACAGATGAGGATTTTTCGAACGGCAGCATATCAATAGATGTTTAACAGAGAAGAGAAGGAGCAAACCCCACCAGAGCATCTGCCAACCACCCACCTGGAAAAGTTACATAAGGACAGATGAAATAAAAGAATAAATGAACTAAGACATTAACACAGGAACAAACTAACACAAGACACAAGTACCGAAACAAGTGAAAACAGCGAGGTCAACAAACAAACAAAAAAAAGCTTATGACCTTTCTGTTGGACAAATACACACACAAATAAACAAAAAAAAGCTTATGACCTTTCTGTTGGACAAATACACAGACAAACAAACAAAAAAAAGCTTATGACCTTTCTGTTTGACAAATACACAGACAAACAAAACAACAACAACAACCATCCCATGAGATAATTAACACAAACAAACAAACAAGGATAGGGTTGTAAAGAGAGTAAAGTAAACAAACAAAGAGAGAGAAAAAAACACAAAAACCAATGAGTGGAATAAACAAGCTTTCTAGTTTTAGTTGAGGTTTTACGGCACTCGCACCTGCATTAGGTCATATGAGTGCCAAAAGATTAGAGGTGTTACAAGAGAGTAACAAACATAATAAAGAAGAAGAGGAGATAAGGACGATAGACGTTTGATAGGCAAGAAGAAGCAAACCACAGCAGAGCACCCGCCAACCACCCACATAAATAAGCAAACAAAAAAACCCAAAGTAAACAAAAAAACAAAGTAAATGAATAAAAAGAATGGCAGTATGTTAGTGTTTTAGCGCCTATAAAATGGCAGCTTGCACTGTATGCTTCCCAAGAAGTTGAAATTGTTTCAGAATGCTATCAGGTCTCCTGGGGTAATAATAAAGACTGTAACGCGCATGGAGCTTGCTGTTGAACGGGCATTTGGGCTATACAAAAAATGTAATTTATTATCATTATTAATGCATTAGACAAACAAACAAAAGAAAAAAGAGATTTTGTTTTAGTAGAGGTTTTACGGCACTCACAACTGAGCGCCAGAAGATTAGAGGTGTTACAAGAGAGTAACAAACATAAAAAAGAAGGAGGGGAGATAAGGACGATAGATGTTTGATAGGAAAAAGGATGCAAACCACACCAGAGCACCCGCCAACCACCCTTCCTGCTATCTATTACCGTTCTTAAAGACAAACAAACAAACCCATAAAAAGAGCGCATCTTCCAGCTATCTACGCTATCTATTATCATTATTAACCCTATCGTGTTTTATTATCGTATCCATACGACGAGGGAAACTCTGTGCCACCACTTTCCAAAGAGGAAATTAACTCATTAATCGGATCCGTAAGTTTGCATAGCAGTCTCTCAAAATGATTTTTTGAGAATACTGAAAGTTTCAAAGAGATCTTCAGACTAGAAGTATTCTAAAATGTGAAGAATACAACCCCGGGGGTACAAAATGACCCCAGGGTGTACGGATAGGTTTAACACAAACAAAGGCATAAAGAGAGCGCACCTTCCTGCGTGACCAATCGCTTGAAGTCGGAGAGCGGGCAGGAGCCCAGGTCGGGCTGCACAGCCACAAAGTAGCTCTCACAGGCCAGCAGGCCATGCAGCTCAAAGCTGTGGCTGGCACTTGTCTTGAAGACGTGCGGCTCCACCAGGCTCTCACGGCCCACCGCACGCGTGGAGTAGTAGATGTTGTAGTGCTGTTGAGAGGGTAAGGAGGGGGAAGATTGGGAGTAGAGAGGTAGGGAGAAAGGGGGGAGGGGAGGAAGGGAGAGGGGGGTAGGGGGAGAGAGGTTGGGGGAAGGGAGGATGGGTGGAGTTTGGAGAAGGGGGGGGGGAGGATAGGGGAAGAGGGGGGGGGGGTCAGGGGAAGAGGGGAAGAGGGGAAGGAGGGGGGTGGGGGAGGATTACAAAGGTAGAGTTAGATTTGTATAGTTTTTGTGGTTGTTGCCGTCGTTTTTGATGCAGTTGTTGTTTTTGTAGATTTTGACATTGTTGTAGTTGCTGATGTTTGTTAATGTTGTTGATATTGTCTTTGTTTTAATTGATATTGTGGCGGATGTTGACATTGTTGTTGTTATTGTTGTAGATGTTGTTGTTAACATTTTAGTTACCACTGTGGTTATTGCTGACTTTGTTGTTTCTAACGTCATTGTCGTTAAAAATCCAGAGACTTTTGGGCTTGTTCCCTACAAATACCATGCTGTAAAGTTAGAGAATTAAAGGCAAAAGAGGCAGGGGTAGGCCCACAGCAACATACTTAGAGGGAACCTAAACAAATGGGTAAAAAGGAAAGATCAGCGAAACGTAGCTTTTTTTTTTTAAGAGCATCCGAGCAAAGGAAAGAATGGAGAACATTGATCGCCGATGTCTGTCGCAGATCTGGCACTGGATGATGATGATGAAAGGTAGAAAGTCACTATAAGCTGTTCCCAGCAAAGGTCTACTTGAGGTCTACCTTTGTAAAACAAATAAAAATTGTCTCTGCACATGACGTCATGGTGAGACCCTGGCGGTGTGATGACTTTCAGTAGAGACAATAGAGATTTGCTTATACTATGTGTGCTGTTACTCAACAAAAGAAAGAAAAAGAGGCCTATCTGGACAAACGTCTGGCTTTTAAAGCAAAATATATTCACTCACACTGTTGTTCTGAGATTGTTTTATTTTATTTTTTATCACAAAGTGTGTACTTGCATCTTGATTAAACAGTTTACAAAATATATGCTGTTCATAAGCCCTTTCTATCATTTGTTACTGCAGTTTTAGAAATCGTCCACAGACATTTGTGGGATCTGTAAATCCCAATACAGAGAAGAACAGCAGTCACCAAACTTTACATTGTGCAGTGACTCTGCAGTGTATAGAAGCTTTAACGTCAGATGCACAACACAGTGGGTGACCTTGACACATGCCTTCAAATTCAAAATTGACAATTTTGAAACATTGTCTGCACAAGTTTAATTACGGGGTCAAATCAGATTCCTCTGACGCCACATTGCTAATCTTGATATGCTGATTCTGAAAATGAAACCAGTTTTTAGCTGAGGGAATTATTATTACAATTCTGCGAGCAAAAGTCTAATACCACACAGCAGCAATATTCACCTCACCTCTCCCAAATCTAACCTAGATCACACAAAAAATATCAGGTTTTGCTTGATTTCTCTATTGAGTCTCCATTGCATCGTCCAATTTTTAAATATAATTTTGCGATTACGCCTGACAGGTTTGTTGTATGAATGATAAATCATCCAGTCTTTTTACAATTCATCTTTCAGCATGACCCCACCCGTAGTAGAATATCATGTTCTAAAACGGTGACGGGGCTCATTGTTGGGCAAGGTTCTTGTCTCTTGAACCACAGCATCTGGTTCGTTCCTACAGGAGATTACTACACATCTAATACATCATCACCGCTTCTTGTACCATAAAATTAAAGAGTCAACAAAAAATGTGTCCTTTGTCCAAATAAATACCCCATACTTTCACCATATTCCATGTACATTTTCTTCACCACACCTGCTTCATTAATGAAAAGATAAGCACATCGACCCAACAACAATCACCAAGTGCCAAGGGCAAAAAAGGTGGTACCCATCATACCTGTGGAATGGTCCCGGCCTGCTGGTGATAGTGGACAATGGCGGATGTGGAGCCTGTCATGTTGACTGACTCAATGTGGACAACAGGAGCCACTCCTGCTCGGGAGCGCACAAAACAAATAAATAGACAATATGTCATGTGGCATCGGGGTGAAATTAACCATACATCAAGATAACAAAACAAAGTAATCAACATTATTCCATCTATTCGGTAAATTTTATCGATTTTTTAAATTTAAATTTGGGTTCAACACTTTAATGTCCATTTAAAACCACATTTCAGTGAAAAATCAATTTTGTTATTTTGATCTCAACCTGTTATGCCTATTTCAAAACGCATTACAGTGTGAATTTTACAGAAAAATGTTGATCAAAGGCATGAAAAATGTAAATTTGCAGTTTCCAAAGAGGAAGCCACCAAACTTTGGCAGCTATTTCACAAATATCTTTACTTCTAGATAAATGAGTATTTTTAATCATCAAAAGCAAGATAAAAATACAAGCTTTAAGACGATACCAAAAACTCTATATAACTGAAAATTGGCGAACACTTGATTACACCAAAACAGGACACGTATTACAGGAGAAAATAAATTGCTCAGAAAGTATTACTTAAGTTTTAGTAGAGGTTTTACGGCGCTCGCAACTGCATAAGGTCATATGAGCGCCAGAAGATTAGAGGTGTTACAAGAGAGTAACAAACATCAAAAAGAAGAAGGGGAGATAAGGACGACAGATGTTTGATTGGAAAGAAAGAGCAAACCACACCAGAGCACCCGCCAACCACCCACTCGAAAAGTATAAAGCTTGGAAGTCTTTTTTTTTTTTCAAGTTCACCATTCCTCCTAGAGGAACAACATCACCTCACGACAACAACAACAACAACAAAAGCAACAACAGCATCAGCAAGAACCTGAACAACAACAAAACCACCTCCAGCAGCACCATCAAAAAGTACACCAACACCAACAACAACAAACACCACCAACAACTATCCACTACAACCCACTAACAACAACAACAGTAACAACAACTGTCCACTACAACCGGCTAACAACAACAACAGTAACAACCAGCCCAATACTACATCAATCACCACCAACACCATCACTGCCCCTGCCACCAACAATGACAACTGCCTCCACCAACAAAAAAACCCCACCAACAACCACCACCACCACCACCACCACCACCATCCCACAAACAACAACAATAGCAGCAACAACAACAACTGTAACAACCATCACCACCACCACCAACAACAACTGCAACAACTATCATCAAAATTACCAACAACAACAGCAACAACAACAGCAACAACAACTGTAACAACCAATCCACCAACAACAACCATGCAACCACCACCGCCCCCAACAACAACCACACCACACCACCACCAACAACAACAACAACAACACCAACACCACCACCACCAACAACAACAACAACAGCAACAACAACCACACCACGACCACCAACAGCAACAACAACCACACCACTACCACCAACAAAGCATCACCCACCCTGCATGACCAGCCAGCCCCCACCCTGGCTCGTGCGTGGGTAGTTGGGCCTCCCCACCACACCCTTAGGGTACACCGCCTGCACCTCTAGCTGTACGCTGGAGCCTGGGCACAGCTTGTCCACTGGGGACAACCATATGGAAACTTCAGCAACAACATCAACAACAACATCTTCATCAACAGCGGTAACAACAACAACAACAACAGCAACAATATCAACAGCATCATCATCAACAACATCAGCAACAATGTCAGCAACAACAACAACCTCAACATCAACAACAACATCATTATCATAATCATTTATATAAATTCATTCAAAATTATATATTCGACGGCCACTCCATGTCGAGGAGAAAAGTGGACATCTTAGACAGGCAGATGTCATACACAGTGCTATTATAATGTCAAATAAGCGCAAGGAGGGAAATGGGACGTGGCTATTTGTTTGTTTGTTTTGGTAAGTGTTTTACGGCACTCGCAACTGCATAAGGTCATATGAGCGCACGGGACACACCTAATACATTCAGTTGGTAGGAAATTTTGAGGTGAAAGGAGACAATTTTAGAGAAAAAAAATTTTCGGTCACTATCCGGATTTGAACCCGGGACCTTTGAATGAGAGGCCAACACCTTAACCTCTAGGCCACGAGAGCCCCCATGTGGCTATTTGTAAAGGTGAAAGTCTTATAAGGATGGCTGTTGGAGCAGCTTCAACTATACGTGATTATATACACATAATATACGTAATTGTTGACATAGTAACTTTTTCAGGGTGCAAGGGATTCCACAATTTTACACACCTAGGCCCGAAGGGTGTTACCTTGAAACGGTTACAGTTCAGTCAAATATTGAGGGATTTGTTAGAGGGTCTTACCTTGAAACATCAAATATTGATGGATGTGTTTGTGTGAGCCCCCAAACTATTCGTAATTGTACAGAGAATCACAATATGGGTGAAAATAGGTAGTAAATGTAACACACTATCAAGTGTGTAGATCTTGTAGGTTGACGGAAATCGGTACACCCGAAAAAATATAGCTCAAGTGGCAAGCCGCTGAAACACGGAACCAAAAACACTACTGAAGTGGCGAAGAGTTAATCCTTTGAGCCCTAGCCGCCGGTACACAGGTGAGTGAGACCTTATCCCCAACCCAGCCCATCCAGGACAAAACGTGTACGGAAAATAGTGTTTGCTACACAGGACACTACTGATAATTTTGATCATCTTTCTGAATCAGATGCTAGTAGTGACGAGGACTATCCTGCGTGGGATAGAGGAAGGTGATTCCGACGATCATATCAGTGGGAGAGGAATTCTTAGTTGTAATGTGTTAGTAAGAGCTGGTGTGTTTTGCTTGTACTGCTGTCCATACGTATATATATATATATATATATATATATAAATAATGTATGTTTTAGTTTTAGTAGAGGTTTTATGGCGCTCGCAACTGCATAAGGTCATATGAGCGCCAGAAGATTAGAGGTGTTACAAGAGAGTAACAAACATAAAAAAGAAGAAGGGGAGGTAAGGACGATAGATGTTTGATAGGAAAGAAGAAGCAAACCATACCAGAGCACCCTCCAACCACTCACAAAATAATGTATGGTTGTGATGGTTCTTCTTTATGCGGTAGAACTGGTTTTTCTTGTGACTGTAAAATAGTTTTTCCTGTGAGAATGAATTATTACTTTCCAGTGATCATGTGATCGATGTAAAGCACTTGGAGCTTATACTTGTATGGGAAAGAGCGCTATATAAATGCAATCTGTTATAATCATTACACTAATAAAGGCATGCATCGCTGAGGAGCTCTGGCAGAGGAGCACGGTAGCCTCAGGAGGTCAGGGCTCAAAGGGTTTAGCCCCCATTGACACAATCACAATGTAAAAAAGAAAACCGTGCCACAGACCTCCTCAAGCCACAACTTACCCTTGTGCCATGTGACCGTCTTCTCCAGCGAGACAACTCTGCTGCCTCGCTCCTCCATGTGCACTGTGACTTTGAAGCCAGTGGCCTTGTTGTCCTTGACCCAGGTCAAGTTCACAAAACTGTCCGTCAGCTTGGCAACTTTGACCTTGAGGTCAGAGAGCGGGATCTTGTCCGACACTGTGATGTTGACCTTGCTGGAGGACTTCCCGATGCCCTTGTGGTTCACAGCCGCCACCTTGGTGGTTGGTTGGAGAAAAAAGAAGCACATTCACACAATAATGGAGAGAAAAAAAAGCGTTGCACCGTGGTGAAATTAGGCGTTCGGCAAAATAAAGAACTTGAAGAAACTAGCATTTTTTTTTCACCCGATTGGAAATTTTAATTGAAATATTTGTTTTGCTTAACATCTTTTATATCCTTTCACAAACACATCTCTCTATGAATTTACCGTACAACGTCGATCACAGGCACAAAAAAAGGTAAATTTGCCGTTTCCAACGACACTCGAGCTTTGGAAGTTATCAAACTTTGGAGGCCATTTTCTCAATAATTTCACTTCCGACACCAGACAACCCCAACCTCCTTCAATTGCAAATACCTCGATTTCTATTGAAGATATATGGGTGGGGTTGTTGTTGGGGGGTTTTTTTTTGGGGGGGGGGGGGGGGTTTCATCAAAATCAAGGCAAACAAAACTGCCTTCAAAAGATACCCAGAACTTGACGAGCATCTGATTTCACTATGTCAAGACATAAATATAATTGTAGAAGTTTTTAGCCTATATCGAAATAATGTTGTTTTTTGTTTTTTTTGGTAAGTGTTTTATTTACGGCACTCGCAACTGCATAAGGTCATATGAGCGTGTGGGACACATTTAATATTTTCAGTTGGTAGGAAATTTTGACTTTTACCCAGGTGACGGCGGAAGCCTACTCTTATCGATTTGGACCGAAAAGGGATCTTAACTCTTGTCCTGCGTCTGTGCTGAGATGCGAATCTTATCAGAAACCGATTACGTCGAACGTTCCGGGCAGGCCGCCAGGGTCACTCAGTGTGTGTACTGTTGGTGTACAGCGCGCGCACCGGGAAACGTGTGTTTTCGCCATGAATACCGCGGGAGTGTGTTAATCGATGAGGAAAATAACGCTCTATCTTTCACAGCTTTCTATCTATAAAGTGTTACAAACACATGTATAACCCCCTCTCACAAGCTGATAAAACATTACGAGTAGTTACGCCCATTCGAATAACCTTTCTGGACGCTCTCGTTGTTAGGAATGACCTGAGGTTCCAAAGGGGATAATATAGGTCAATTTCCGAATGTTTTGCACTCAAATCGTTCTTTGTACCAGCACAATGGTATTCAAAGCTATCAAACAAGCTTATTTTTTATCATGTAGTATCATTTCATACAAAATCAAGCTCATTTGAAAGATTTTGTATAGAAAAATGGAAGCCTTGTTTCCTGACTATCCTTTCGAGCTCCTCATGTCTAAGTGGGTCAATTTCTTCTATGATTTCATTGGACGAACATCTAGAGCTACCAACTTGGCATGTTTTGAATGAGACGTATGCCTCGATTACGAACCAACGCAAGCGGTTCTAGAAGAAGGCCACAAACGCACACAAACTAAAGCAGACTGAGGCACACACACTTGACCTGCGCAAATGGGGATCTGACTCGCGACCCGAATTTCACTTAAGATGATGCGCGGTGCGCATGCGCTGAGCCAGGGGCTACACTGATTCGGGACCAGAACGTAGGCGAGGTGCTGAAATAGACTTACCGGGCAACATAAACCCGGCCCCCGCAGGACGAGGGTTAATGTGAGCAACTTGCACACTGGACCTCCGAGACTTTTTGCCCCTGTCCGAGAAGGCTAGGTGTAGATCTTTCCTACCATAAGATCAGGAGTTTGGCTGCAAGAAGGAGCCAGGGAGTAGCAGTAGAAAGACTGCAGAAAGAATCAGAAGCCCATAGGAGGGGGCAAAGGAGGTGAGGGGGTGGGGGCAGAAAGTGGAGGCGAAAGTAGACAACAAAACATTGCAAGAGGGTAGGAAAGGAGATGAAAGGAGACAATTTTAGAGAAAAAAAATTCTCGGCGCTATCTGAATTCAACCCGAGACCCATTGAATGAGAGGCGAACACCTTTACCTCTAGGCCATGAGTCCCTCACTATGTCGATCACTAACGAGGCGTGCTACTTCAACCATGCCTGTCAGGGCCAACCCCAGTAGAGAGGGACGCTAACCCCTTCCTAAATTATCTAAATGCGAGGAATCGTGGGGAAATCAGACGCTTGTCAAAATGATAAAATTCTTGATACAGGCATTTTTTTGGGGGGGGGGTTGGCAATTTTTTTATTTTTGTTGTTTAGCACAACACCTTATATGTCCAATTAAAAACACATTTCTGTGTGGATTTACTGAAAAACATTGATTAAATACACAAGAGATGTGAATTTTCAGTTCCCACGGACTCTCAAGCTATAGAAGTCACCAAACTTTGGCGGCCATTTTCTCGCTAATCTAACCTCTGAAACCAGGCAAGCCCTATCTCCTTCAATAGAAAATATCTCGACTTCTGTTCAAGACAGATGGGTATTTTTACACAATAGCAAGACAAATGAACAAGTTTTAAGATGATACCCATAACTGTACATGTTCAAAAATTGACGAATGCCCAATTCCATTGCATTGCGACACAAATATGTGTTCTCAATGAGGGTGTGGATTTCTACAATTGAAGATCATTTCCAAGAATTCCGAGGTCAAGGCCTCCACAACTCACCCAGAAGTCGTACTTCCTTCCGTTATGGATGCCGTCGACAACGACGGTCTTGAAGTCCCGATGATTGGTTCTCATGGCCGAGGCGGGCACCAGCTTCTCCTGTACGTCTCCCACACTGGTGCCGTCCGGGGCCATCTCCTGGTAGTAAACCTGCCAGCACACAAAACACAACGGAGGAAAAAAATAAATTTGGATGAAATGGTTCTGGTATAATGCCCCTCTAGACTCTATTAGGTCATTTAATAGGCGGGACCTCCGAGTTTAACGCCCATCTCCGACAGGACCAAGCCAAAAGGGCAATTTGTGTAAAGCATCTTTCCCAAGGGCACAATGTCAGACTGAGCAGAGGCTCGAACCCCAAAACCCACAATCTCATGACCAACCGTCCGGTAGCCGAACCACTAGGCTACCAGCGCCTCATATGAATGGTTTCTTGGAGGAAGGGGGGAGGGGGGGAGAATAATTATCAGGATCATGTATCTTTTTCTTAAGAGCATCCAAGCAAAGAAAGGAATAGGGAACCAAGACAGCTGATGTCTGTCACGGATCTTGCACTCGATGATGACAACGATCACGATAATGACAGTCCAAGAGGACAGAACACAGGTCCAACTGCACTTCTCTCCACTTTAAAAAAAAAAAGTAAAAAAACCCAAAAAACAAACAAAAACAAGAAAAATAAAATGTTTTACAGTAAAGAACAAAACCTACATTGTAGCGCAGGATTTCCCCACGTGACACACTAGGCCTCTGCCACAACACGTCCACGCCCAGCAAGTTGTATTCATTGTGAACTCGCACTTTCAAATTCTCCGGGGCAGCAGGAACTGAAAAAAACAAAAAAACCTAAAACAAAAAATCTAACACAAAACAAAATAAATTGTTTAAAGTGTTAAAAAATAAGACAAAGTTAACTCAAAGACATATCACGTCTTATGTTTCTGTTGTTGCAGGGTCAGTGTAGTAGTTGTCCACTTTTTCCTGCAGAACAACTTTAGCCATGGTAGAAGTTTTACGACAACACAATATGGTCAAATAAGTGCCAAAGATTAAAGGTGTTATGAGAGAGTAACAAACACCAAAAAAAAAAGGATTAGAGATAAGGATGATAGATGTTTGATAGGAAAGAAGGAGCAAACCATATCAGAACGCCCGCCAACCATCCGCATCCTGCAGAACAAATGTGTCACGTCGTGGTGGAAAGAAGCGCTCGTCAATTTTTGGGCATGTAAATTCATGGGCATCGTCTTAAAGCTTGTTCAGTTGTCTTACCATTGGTGGAAAAAAATGCCCATCTATCTTGAATATAAGTCGAGATATTTGAGATTGAAGAAGACGAGGTCACCTGGTTTCAAAGGTAAGTTTAGCAAGAAAATGGGCGCCAAAGTTTGATTACTTCCATAGCGTGATAGTTCATGGAAATTGAAAACTTACATTTTTTATGCCTTTAACTCTTTTCTTACCAGGCCAAATTCCACCACTGGCCCAGGGCTTTTCCCTGACCTATCTTTACGCTCCTACCCCGCCAAAGGAAAATGTCAAAACATCCAACTAAACACATTCAAACCATATCATATGGCCCATCAAACTGAAGGTTAAAAAATTATCTATCAGATGGTGATACAATATTGAAGATTTATTCCAATTATAGTAGTTTGTGGTTTCTAAAACTGATTATGCAATATTGAAGATGCCGTGTGAAATCAACAATTTTCCTGCTTTGAAAGGTCATATCTAAAAAAGTACCATAACAGCATCATTCAAACTTCCCAAGTAGGATGTCTCAATGGTATGTATGTGTAGCTATTAGAGAAGTGAAAACATGAGACATACTGGAGTCAGGGGAGCACTTTTCTGTTCATTTTCACGTTTCAAAGGGGACAGACAAAAGCGATGAAATGACTAAAAATTGTCTGTCAGTGTCATACTTTCTTTCTTATCTGCTCAAAGGAAGTCTATTCTATTATTTCAAAAACATGGATCGGTCGATGATTTCGTGTCTTTTCATTACTGGATCAGAATAGATAGCGAGCCACTCGAGCCGTATTTCGCGGCTCTCTGTCCAGCGAGGCCACATCCGCGAGCCCGTGGTAGGAAAAGTGTTAATCAATGTTTCTCAGTAAAACCTCCAAGAAATGTGTTTTTAATTGGACAACAGTGGTACTAAGCCATATAACAAAAATTCGATAAAAATTGACAGTTTCTTCAATTTCATTATTTTGATGAGCACCTGATTTCCCCATGCTGCCTCACAAACGATGACCTAAGTAACACTGAAGAGACAGAAGAATACACAGAGAGCTAAACCAGAGAACAAACCAATCACTTCTGCAAAGCTAACTAACGGACATGTATACAAAAATGTTTTTTACATTTTTGTTCATTTTTTTGAAAATGCAAATAAGTTTTACTGCACTTGCAACACAATAAGGTGGTATAAGTGCTGAAGATTAGAGGTGTTACAAGAGAGTAACAAACACAAAAATAGAAGGAGAGATAAGGAAAATAGACGCCAAATAGAAAAGAAAGATAAAACCACACCAGAGCCCCCTCCAGCCACCTACGGTTCAATATACTGGAGAGGAAAATCTGACAATATGTGTCAAATAAGGCTTAAAATTTCAACACACAACCAGCCATACCCCATACCCTACCCCAAACAAACCCCCATAAAACAATAACAAAAATGTATCTCCGCCCCCACCACCACCAATTTCTTTCACCCTAACTACATGAAATTGTCTTCCTACACAAGTGGTACATGCACTGGCATAAAATAAACACAGAGTAAGAAATGTAAATTAAGGAAGTGTACAAGCAATAAGGTGGGGGGGGGGGAGAGAGAGAGTACATTTATTATGATTATTCAAGTATGAGAGAGAGGAGCCCTTGAATATCGAGGGGTTTTCCCCCTGAACCAACTTCCAGAACAAGTAAGTGAAATGTGTGCTTGTGTGCTTTAGTTTTGTTTGGCAAGAGTTTTACAGCGCTCGCAACAATACGCCATATGAGCGCATGCGACACAAGTTTGTTGTTTTCGCGTTAGCTTACAACACAGCCTAGTTTTACTTTTAGGTTGAAGTTTTAAAATTCTGGGGGGGGGGGGGGGGAAGAGGAGTACCCCACAATTCTGAGAAGGAAAAAAAATTAGTAAACTCACTTAAAAATAAAAAAGTAAACTCACCTCCCTCCTCCGTTCTCTCATACAGATTGTACAGTGCACACTTATCTTCGAAGAAGACGAATCTGTATGCGGTGTAAGGCACTAGATCCACGACATCCAGGTGTGTGTTACTCACATTGACTTGCACCCAGGTCAAGTTGGCCAATGGGACCTCCGACTCAACCATGCTGAGAAATGAAATCATGTGGAAAAAAAAGGGTAAGGACCTCGGACTCAATCATGCTGGGAAAAGAAAGCATAAATGTAAAATTGTGTCACGACGTGGTGGGATCAGGCTCTCGTCAATTTTGGGGCATTTAGAGTTATTGGTGTCATCTTAAAGCTTGTTTATTTGTCTCGCTTTCAATGAAAAAATAATCAATCTATCTTCAACCGAGATACTTTGGATTGAAGGGGTGGGGATCACCTGGTTTCAGAGGTAAAATGACAGAGAAAAAGACTGCCAAAGTTTGGTGACTTCCAAAGCATGACAGTCTGTGGAGACTGTACATTTACACCTTCGTGCCTTCAATCAATGCTGTTCAGTAAAAGCCACTCAGCAAAACGTTTTTAAATTGATATAAAAGGTGTTGAATAAACAAAAGAAAATTCGACAAAAATTGCCAAATGAGAAGAAGAAAAATGCCATTTTCTTCAATTTTATTATTTTGATGAGCGCCTAATTTCACAACGCAGCCTTACAATTAGAGTGAGGACCTCAGACTCAACCATACTGGGAAAACAAAGTATAAATGTAAAAATAGAGTAAGGACCAGGAGTAGATTCTGTAGGGAAGGAGTGGGAAGAGAAAGAGAGAGAGAGAGAGAGAGAGAGAGAGAGAGAGAGAGAG